CAATCAACCAATGGAATAGTTTGCCTCCATAACCTGTGGATGCTCCATCACTGGAGGCTTTCAAGAAGTGACTGGACAGCCATTTGTTTGAAATGATATATATTCTTATGCTTGAGCAGAGGTTTGGACTAGAAGCAGTGGTGGGATTCAGCCTGTTCTGACCAGTTTGGGTTAGGGTTCAGTTGAGGCACCCCTTGACGTGACATTGAGTTGGCCACGCCTACCCAGTCACATGTCCACCTAGCCATGCCCACCCAATCACATGACCACCTAGCCACACCCACCTAGCCATGCCCACAGAATCAGTAGTAAAAGAATTTAAATCCTACCACTGACTAGAAGACCTCCAAGATCTCTTCCAGCTCTGATGTTTTATATTCTGCGTTGCCCAGTAACCAGCATACATATAGGCCACCCTATAAGAAGGCTGGGAATTGATTTGTACTCAAACTTTAGAAAACCTGGATCCATTCTTCCTCATTTTTGCAAACTCTCAGATGAGAGTTTTCTTTTAGGATCAGTATTTTACCCACTGGCCGTAAAAGAAACAAAATGAATGAATGAATGAATGAATGAATGAATGAATGAATGAATGAATTCTTTATTGGCCAAGTATGATTAGACACACAAGGAATTATGTACACTGAGAGCACGTCTTGGTACACGTCAGTGTACATAAAAGAAAAGATAAAAAGCAAAACAATGTTATTGAAAGAGGACTAATGGAAAAGACAAATGAAGGGACAGGGGAAAAAAACGTTTCCTTTATCTTCATTTCCTTTTCCCAGCATGTAACAAGCAGAGAAAAATTGTGGGCCCTGACTTACTGCTTTTCCCCTTCTTCACCTATTCATCTCCCTAATATGTTGAATAGCATTCCATGACAGCACAGAATGGAATGGCCCATCGGAAGCATAGGTTTCAGAAAGAGAAATGTGGTTAAACCAGAGAGGTGAAAAGGGAAAGCAAGGGGATTATAAACTGTTGAACATGACACAAAGGCTGGGAGGAAAAAGAAAAGACCCTCACCCAAATTGATATTTGTCTTCACCAAATCAATGAGGCTTTTGCAATCTTGATTGTGGGGAGAAAGGGAGGGAGGGAGGGAGGGAGGGAGGGAGGAAGAAAGGAAGGAAGGAAGGAAGAAAGGAAGGAAGGAAGGAAGAGGGAGGGAGGGAACTTCCAGTGATGAAGTATCTACAAGTTCTGAAGGCAAACCATTGCACTGGTTAATTGTTCTCACTATTAAGAAATTTCTCCCTAGTTTTAGGTTGCTTCTCTCCTTGATTAGTTTCCATCCATTGCTTCTTGTCATGTCTTCTGGTGCTTTGGAAAATATGTTGACCCCATATTCTTTGTGGCAGCCCCTCAAATATTGGAAGAATGCTATTATGTTATCCCTAGTCCTTCTTTTCGCTAGACTAGACATACATACCCAATTTCTGCAACCATTCTTTATATGTTTTAGCCTTCAGTTGTCTAATCATCTTTGTTGCTCTTTTCTGCACTCTTTCCAGAATTTCAACATCTTTCTTTTTTAAATTCTGGTGCTCAGAACTGGGTGCAGTATTCCAAGTGTGGCTGTACTAAGGCTAATACTTAGTACCACTAAAGTGGTGCTAATGCTTCATGCAGTGGTGGGATTCAAATATGTTTACTACCGGCTCTGTGGGCATGGCTTGGTGGGCATGGCATGGTTTAGTGGGCATGATTTGGTGGGCATGGCAGGGGAAGGATACTTCAAAATCCCCATTCCCTCCCCATCCCACTAACCTGCTTTCCAGCTCCCTTCTCCTGTGCAGGGCAACAAAAGAAGACCCAGCAGATCAGCTGGGACTTGGGAGGTAAAAAATAAATGGGGTTGGGACCAGTCAGAGGTGGGATTTGCCGGTTCTCCGAACTACTCAAAATGTCTGCTACTGGTTCTCCAGAACTGCTGAATACCACCTCTGATTTTATTTATTTATTTATTTATTTGATTTGATTTGTCAATTGTTTACAAGATAATAAGTATAAGTGTATACATAGTTGTGAATACATGAAATGGGTACATATAAGAAAAATAAAAGAAGAATAAGAGAAACAATAGGACAGGGACGGTAGGTACGTTGGTGCGCTTATGCACGCCCCCTACAGACCTCTTAGGAAAGGGGTGAGGTCAATAGTAGACAGTCTAAGGTTAAAGTTTTTGGGGTTTGGGGAAGAAACTACAGAGTTGGGTAGAGTATTCCAGACATTGACCACTCTATTGCTGAAGTCGTATTTCCTGCAATCAAGTTTGGTGCGGTTAACTTTGAGTTTGTATCTATTGTGTGCTCTTGGTTATGGTTGAAGCTGAAGTATTCATTGACAGGTAGGACATTGCAATGTATGATTTTATATACCATGCTTAAATCAGACCGAAGATGGCGTAATTCAAGGTTTTCTAGTTCTAGAATTTCAAGTCTGGTGGCATAAGGTATTCTACAACGAGTAGAGGAGTGGAGAACTCTTCTTGTGAAATATTTCTGGACTTTCTCAATTGTGCTAATATCAGATACGTAATGTGGGTTCCAGACTGATGAACTGTATTCGAGTATTGGTCTAGCAAATGTTTTGTATGCTCTGGTTGGTAGTGTGATATTACCAGAGAAAAAGCTACGTAGGATTAGGTTAACAACTCTTAATGCCTTTTTGGCTATGTAGTTGCAGTGGGCTCTAGCACTTAGATCATTAGAGGTGAGTATTCCAAGGTCCTTTACAGAGCTTGGGTCATCAACAAGATCTTGACTATTCAGCTTGTATTTTATTTTCTGATTTTTTTTGCCAATATGTAAGACAGAGCATTTATTTGTTGAGATTTGAAGTTGCCATTTGTTTGACCATTCTGATACATAGTCAAGATCTTTTTGTAGGGTAGCAGTATTGTCTGTGGTATTGAACAGCTTTACATCATCAGCGAAAAGAACGCAATTGCTCTTAATATGATCACAGAGGTCATTTATGTAGAGTATGAAGAGAGTTGGTCCTAGAACACTGCCTTGGGGGACACCACTATTGACAGGTACAGAATTTGATAGGACGCTCCCAATTTTGACCATTTGTTGTCTGTTTGACAGGAATGCTTCTATCCAGTTATTCAGTTGTCCAGAGATACCATAGGATTTTATTTTTAGGAGTAGTTTGTCGTGTACCACTGAATCAAAGGCTTTACAGAAGTCTATGTAGATTGCGTCTATTGCTTTGCCCTGGTCGAGTTGTGTCGTCCATATGTTTTTGCAGTGTAAGAGTTGGAGATTACAGGATAGTTTTTTTCTGAAACCAAATTGTTTATTGGAGAGTAGGTTGTTTGTCTCTAAGTGGAGGATGATGGATTGGTTAATAATTGATTCCATGACTTTACAGGTGACGCAGCATAAGGAGATTGGTCTGTAATTTTCAACTAGGCTTGGGTCTCCCTTTTTGAAGATGGGGATGACTGTGGCTTGTGACCATAGGTTAGGCAAGGAGCTGGTCCTGAAAGATTTTTCAAAGATTATGCTTAGAGGTTTGGCTATGGCAGTGGATAGCTTTTTTAAGAAGTAGGCACATATTCCATCCGGTCCAATAGATAGAGATGGTTTTAGATTGCGTAGTGCTTTTTCAACATTGTCTTCTGTAAAATCGATATGTATTAGATCATTGTTGTTATCTGTGGTACGGCTAGGAAATACTGGGCATGATCCATTGCTGTTTACAAATACTGAGCCGAAGAATGTGTTAAAGATGTTGGCTTTAATGGTGTCATCGTTGCAGTCTTTACCATCAGGTCCTATCAAGGGTGGGATGGACCTTGAGTCTTTTAGTTTGTTGTTTACAAAATTGTAAAAAGCACGGGTGGAATTGGTGCTTAGAAGGTTTTCCTCTTGTTTAATGTGATAATTGGTGCATTCGGTCTTTATCTGATGGCATAAATTTTTGTATCGGCTTTTGAAATTGGCAAAATTTCAATTTCATGTGATTTTGATTCTATCCCTCTATTAATGCAGCCTAGGATTGCATTGGCTTTTTTGGTTGCTGCCACATACTCATATTTAATATACTCACATACTCATATTTAAGTGATTGTCCAGTAGGGCTCCAATATCCCTCTCACAGTTACTGCTAATGCGTCAGGTTTCACTTAATCTGTACCTGTAGTTTTGGGTTTTCTTGCCTAAATGTAAAACCTTCTTTACTTTTTTTTTACATTGAATTTCAGTTTGTTAGATGGGGTCCAATATTTGAAAAAAAGAAAAGAAAAAAAAGAAACAGTTGCATAGTATGACAGATATGCTCATTCACGGACATAATCCTTCTTCAAGTAAAGTAATGTGTGTAATGAATATGATCAATTTATCTGGAATCAGAGCATTCACTTACTTATTAAATTGATGTGCCCTGGAATAAATTGCAACTCTATTAAGTGAATCATATAAAAATTAAGAATTCCACTTTCAAACAGATTTGCATTACATTTTCAATCATTCTACTTTTCCATAGTGTCCATTTATTAGAACACCGTTGCATTAATCTTCTGTATAATTAATTTTCTACTTCATTTACGATCTAAATTTCAGGGCTGTTTTTTTTTTTTTAAAGTCTTTGTACTACTATAGATTTTACATGAAAAGGGAGCTGAAAGTATCTAATTATAGAGGTAGAATCTATACCTCAGCCAAGGTTCCAAGACTAAATGAAGGTCCAACCACCACCACAACAGGACCCCAGAAGATATCTGCAAGCCCCTCGAAAGTAAAATAACAACAATAGTAACGATAATAATAATAATAATACATAAACTGAAACATATTTTGAAAGAACTATAACTTTGTTAAAATGGGGAAATACATTTTAGCAACTATAAATCAAAATAAGACAGAGGTGGTGTCTCTGGATCGGGAGGAACACTATATACATATATCAACATTTGAAAAAGATTAAGGATAAGTAGGGTTCTCTTTTTAGCAAGAAAGGGAGGGAAAAGGAAGGGAGGGAAGAATTCAGACAGATCTTTTGAGGTTCAGTTTTCTCCTGGACTCTCTAGAACGGAACCTCCTGGCTGTCTTGATTGACATGACTCTCTTGATGTCAGGGAAAGTTTGCATCATGGTCTCTGGAATCATTTTGTAGATGTATACAAGGGTTGCTATACAGAAGGGCCAGAAGAGGATAGAGCTGTAGTTGCCAAATTGTATCTGAAAACGGAAAACAATGTGGGAAATTCAGGGAAAGAAAGAGGGAGAAATACACATTTCATCCCATAAATATCATTCTGGCATCTTTCTTATCCTTCCATATTAGCCTCTGGTTTGTGAGGTTCTTATCTTGGCCAGATGTCCAAGAGATACAAGAGGAAGCTACTCCGAATGAGATCAACAATTCCCATCTGTATCTTCTCTGGATTGCCATTCACAATTCCATACAGAAAGAAAGCTACAAGTAGACTTCCACTTACAACCATTCATTTAGTGACTTTTCAAAGTTATAACAGCACTGAAAAGGATTGTTCTGACCAAGGCTTCTGAAACCGTAATTACGCACACACTTATTTTAAAAACAAGTCTTATTTTTTTTGCAACACTGGGAATTGTTTTCATTCCCAGCTGGTAATGAATCTCAAACAGTCCCTCAAGATAAGCACCCACCTTTCTTTTCTGTGAAGTTCTGCCGATAACAGAAGTATCAAATGAACTAGAAAAAAAACAAAACTGAAGTACAAAGGGCTTCAAGAATGAATCTGAACTGAATGAACGACTTTGCTTCCTGCAAAGGTTTCATCATCTTTGCCTGTCCTTTATACCTTATGGGAGGGGCAATCACCTCCCAGCCTTACTCCAGAGTCGCTCCTTTTGTTTCAGCTGCTCTCACTTTCTAGCAGATCTGTGCACACGCGCACTGGGAACAGGTTCCCTTGGGTCCTCTGCCTCACTGCTGCCAGACTCCAAAGGCTTTGGATGCAACACCCCACTCCCAGATGGTCCTGGCCCCATCTCTGCATTGGATGCAGGACCCTTGTCCAAGTCCTCTTCAGACTCCAGGACTGATCCCCGTCCTTCCCTATTGTCCGATTCTGCTGCCGCCTGCACAGGCTGCCGGCGAATCACAACAAGGATGACTTACAACCAGTACTTGCCATCGCAACCGATGTGCCATCCCCGTCATTATAGGATCAAAATTTAGTTGCTGGGATTCCGGCACATATTTGTTGTAATGGTGGCAGCATCTTGGGGTTACGTGATTGCCATTTACCATTTTCCCATCCAACTTCTGGCAAGCAAAGTCAATGGGGAAATCCGGATTTGCTTAAAGACCACATGATTTATTTCACAACTTCAGCAATTAGTTTAACAACCGTGGCCAAAAGGGTTGTAAAATTTGGGTGTGATTCACTTAACAAGCCCATTGCTTAATAAAGGAAATACAGTGAATTCAATTGTGGGTCATGTACTTGTGTTCTCTGTGCAGAACAATCTCTCTTCCTCTGCACAATGTAAAATATGGTCCTTATTTATTGCTTTCGTGTTTTCTGGTGCATTTCAATTGAATGCCTGTAATCCACCTAGATTCACCTCTGGTGAAATGAGCCGCCTGCAGGCTGAATAAATAAATGAATCAATAAACAAACAAGCAAACAAACAGCTTCAATGATAGGCTTGAAATAACTTTCGACTTTGAGCTGCACAATTTGGGATGAACACCCTTTGAATGGTGTAGGAGGAGGAATGGATTTCCAGAGGAGAAAAATTGCAGAGTACAGGAACCAGGAGCACCACTCAGGTGACGTGAGTGATAAACCTCCAAGTGGCCTCAACGACCGTCTGAAAGGATGCAAATGGCCAGCTGCCTGCAAGGAGTATAATTCCTTCCATCCCCCACTATCCTGTTAGAGCTGAAGAAGCTCCCTGGATGAGAAGTGAAACATCTTCAAGAGAAAAAAAAAAGAAAATCCAGTTGCCTCCTGAAAAAGAAATACCTTTGGGGCAACCATGACCTGGATGACTGATAATCTCCACAGACTTTAAAGCCAATTCACCTTTTCCCAGCAAGTTGCTCTTCAAACTTACTCACCCTCCCTTCTAGCACTGATAATAGCAATCGCACTTAGACTTATATACCGCTTCACAGTGCTTTTACAGCCTTTTCTAAGCACTTTACAGAGTCAGACTATTGCCCCCAACAATCTGGGTCCTCATTTTACCCACCTCGGAAGGATGGAAAGCTGAGTTAATCTAGAGCCTGGTGGGATTTGAACTGCCAAATTTCAGGCAGACGACAGTCAGCAGAAGTAGCCTGCAGTACTGCACACAAACCACTGCACCACCGAGGCTCATGATGTTACCTAGTAAGGTCATGAAATTCCTGTAAGAAAACAACCAAGCTCAGAGAACACCAAGGATCCCCCCCTCTCTTACCTCTATGTAGTAGAATGATAGTCCTGTGATAAAGCTTATACTCCAGAACACAGAGCCCGAAATCACAAAGGCCGAAGCTCTTGACGACTGAGAGAACATCTCCAATGTAAGTATGTGCGGAAGGGGTGCTTGGTAGACAAAAGGAAGGCAAGAAATGAAGCATCACTTTTCAGAGGCAAGATAATTTATCCTGGTTGGGGTTTCATCTTCCTCCAGAGGTGCTTCAACCACGGCATTACTTACCAGCTCCAATATCGTGTGTGCAAATGAATAGGATTAACATAACGGAGCTGAAATATGTCAACTCTTTAATCATTTTCTGTTGGAGGAAAGTAGATATATTTCAGTGATGGACTGGTGGAATTTGCAGATGGCTTTGTTTATCTACGACAAGGTTTAACAGAAACCAGGCAGAAAAATAACAGAATAATGGAGGTGGAAGGGGCCTTGCAGGTCTTCTAATCCAGCCCACAGTTCCACCAGGGAACCCTATACTATTCCTGACTAGTGGTTGTCCAGTCTCTTTTTAAAAGATGGAATACCCTCAACTTCTGGAGCCAAGCTGTTCCACTGTTTAATTGTTCTGTCAGGAAAGTTCTCCTTAGTTTTAGGCTGGTTCTCTCCTTGATTAGTTTCCATCATTGTTTCTTGCCTTGCCTTCTGGTGCTTTGGAAAATAGGTTGATCCACTCCACTCTTCTTTGTGGTAGCCCCTCAAATATCAGAACATTGCTATCATGTCAACCCTAGTCCTTCTTTTCTCTAGACTAGACAAACCCAATTCTGGCAACTATTCTTCATACATTTTAGCCTTTAGCCCAGTGGTGGCTAACCTTTTTGAGCTCACGTGCCAGCACCCAGAAGGAAATGTGCGCACCCCCATGCCTCCTGTGCATGCACGCGCAATCCCACACACACATACCCCACCACCACCTTACCTGCACTGCGCCTCACAGCTAATTTTTGGCTGGTTTGAGGCCTTTTTCGGCCTCCCATAGGCTTAAAAAAAGCCTCTGCAGGCTTTGCAGACCGAATAATAGGCTCGTTTAATCACTTCTGGTATTACAGGAAGTGACAAAATGAGCCTATTATTCACCCTGAAAAGCCTGCAGAGGCTTTTCTCAAGCCTCTGGGAGGCCAAAAAAGGCCTCAAACCAGCCGAAAATGAACTGTGAGGCGCGCACATGCGCAGTGAGGTAACTTTGCCTGCAGCTTGTGTGCTGGCATAAATGGCTCTGTGTGCCACCTGTGGTACGTGTGCCATAGGTTCATCATCACGGCTCTAGCCCTTTAATCATTTTTGTTACTCTTCTCTGCACCCTTTCCAGAGTCTCAACATTTTTTTTTTTTTTTTTAATATTGTGGTATGTATTGTGGATGCCATATTCCAAGTAATATTTCTCACTCTTGGCTGCTTGAAGGTGTATGGAATTGTTCAGGGTGGGAATTCAACTTAAAGCTGCCATGATTGAGGTGATAACTTTAAAACCATTGCTGTCCCATTTTGCATAACCCAGCTTGTTCAAACAATCAGCAGGCAATGTGAAACCTTTACAATTGCAATATTCACATTCTTGTGCAAAGTTGCAAGTGAGAATGAGCATTACTTCTTGCTCAACCCCTAGATCAGTATTTTACAACCTTGGCAACTTGAAGATGCCAAGAACCTTCAATTTCTTTGCTGCCTGGGGAATTCTGGGAGTTGAAGTCCATACATCTTCAAGTTGCAATGGTTGAGAAACACTGCTGTAGATAATTTTCAACCAAAATATGTCTGGATACTCAGAACCGCTGCATATATTTGTGTGATTTTGGCCCCTACATTCCATTCTTTTTGTACCAGAAGAATGAGCTTCATCACCATTTTAGAGAATAACATGTAAAGCAAAAATTTTACTAAGTTCTTTTATTGACTGAAGCTAGAAAGTGACCAAAGAATGTATTTTTCAGTACATGTCCCATTTTTAACTAGGAATGTTTGTCTTCCTTGGTCTACAGCCAGGGTCTCCAAATTTGGCAACTTTAAGACTGGTGGACCTCAACTCCCACAATTCCTCAGCCAGCCCTTCCACCATGCTGCTCTCACCTAGCTTGTCTTCTCAGCCTCAGTTTCCCCTGATCTGCCTGCCTTTCTCCCAAACAGCCAACCATCCAAACCGAGAGCATATCCTCTCTTTTCCTGCTCTTCCACCCTTTTTCTTAACTCCTGAGTTGTAGAACACATCTCGGTGGACTTCTGCTGGGATTGTGGTAGAACTAGCCGTTTTCAGATTCTCATGGCTTCTTCCCATCCTAAGAACAGGAAGGTGTGTGAATGAGCCATTTACAGTGCAGCTATCTGAAAATGCCTTTGCTGCTAAATAAATAGGAATTAGTCAGATGTTGGACCTGGGAGGGAATGGACATGTAACTTAATTGTTCTCCCCATGCTTGATGTTCCCAATTACAAACCTGAAGTAGAAGTGACACTATTAATAAAATGGAGGTGATGATGCAACCTGCGAAACTCGCAAGAAGAAGGGGACGTCGTCCCACAGAATCAACCAGGTACATCTAGAGAATATGAAGAGAAAAAAATGTGTGAGGGGGGGAAAAAAGCACCTTAATCACAGTGAAGTGAAGTGAAAAACAAAATATCCTAATTTTGTGCTGTCCGCATATTGTACTCAAGTATCTAGATGTCCTAAGAGCTGTGGTGGCACAGTAGTTAGAACGCAGTATTGCAAGCTAATTATGCTGATTGCCAGGAGTTCAGTCCTGGCTGGCTCAAGGTTGATTCAGCCTTCCATGCTTCTGAGGTGGGTATAATGAGGATCCAGATTGCTGGGGGCAATATGCTGACTCTATGAACCACTTTGAGAGGGCTATGAAAGCTCTGGCCTAGACAGCTGTGGTAAGAGCTGTGGTGGTGCAGTGGTTAGAACGCAGTCTTGTAGACTAATTTTGCTGACCACTAACAGTTTCATTCTCACTGGCTCAAGATTGACTCATCCTTCCACCCTACCAAGGTGGGTAAAATGAGGACACAGATTGTTGGGGGCAATATGCTGACTCTATGAACCACTTAGAGAGGGCTATAAAAGCATTGGGAAGCAATATATAAGTCTAAGTGCTATTGCTAGAGGGTAATAGTAAAGTACTATGAAGGTGTATATGTTTAAGTGCTATATCTATTGCTTCTCAATATCTGTTTCAACCATCAGGAGGAGTTGGACAACGGTTCATACGAATCTCAGGATGAGTTCACCCACCAGCCATGAGGAACATAATGCCGGCACAACGAAACTAGGTGAAGTGAATAATTCCAATAATGTCCCAACAATAAATGCCAGTTGTCAGGACTAAAGAGAGTTGTAATTCACAACAACTGGGAAGACCTAGGCTGGGGAGATCCATCCTATTATGCAGAATATATAATGAATCCCTCTATAGCTATATCATAAGTTCTCTCAAAAGACATATGTAGATATCACACCTTTATTATTTTTTATAAATAATTCAAGGTAGTGAACATGTCTAATACTTCTTGCTCTGTCTATATTCCCCACAAGAACAATCCTGTGAATCTCTTATTCTTCTTTTATTTTTCTTATATGTACCCATTTCATGTATTCACAACTATGTATACACTTATATTTATTATCTTGTAAACAATTGGCAAATCAAATAAATAAAATAAAATAAAAAATAAATAAAGTGGGCTGGGTTGAGAGACAGTAATTGATCCAAAGTTGCCCAGCTGGCTTTCATGCCTAAGGTGGGACTAGAGCTCACCGTCGCCTGGTGATTGGCCAAAGTCATCCAGC